GTGATAATATGACTTTTTTGTTTTTATACAAGATTACAAACGCAACATGGAATTCTGTCTAAAAAGCAGGAAAAGAACTCTTTGAAAAAGATCTTAAGTAAACCAACTATTCGAAAATGATTTTCAAATACTATTTGTTTCTTTGAAATAGAAATCAGGTTATCAAACCCGTGATATTTTCTCATAAGTTTTTGACATATTCTTTCTGTCATATCTATCGAAATATGTCACTTCGTGAGAGTACAACCCTGACTCATTTAATTCGTCATGTCACGTCACGTCACGTTGCATATCAGCGCGTATAAAACCTATTAAGGTATATTGTATCATATATGAATGAGTACGTCCTTGACAACTTGATGACGTATCAAGGCAATTGTACGCAGAAATTCTCCGTGCGTATATATTAAGCAATAACTTCCGCATTATTTCCAGAACGAGGTACGTAATGTTACGTTCGTAGTATGTGTGGGATTTTTCACAGAACCTTTCTCCCGACATGATTGTTTTCATGCTCAATTTGTACTCCACAACCTTTCAAACACCTCATTATGATCTTACTTTCTAAATTTACAAGTGTACTGAATGTAAAGTTCAACTGTAGGATTTCAAAATTATGAGTGAAAATTTACTTTTGTAAAGAGGATTATATGAAATTTATCACCGATATTTCTATTAGCCATCGAAACTTGCAGGTCCTGACACCATCCCTCCTAAATTCATAAAAAAGAGTCTCACGGTCGCTTGTGAGACCCCTCTATCTTATATTAAATAAATCTATTTCTTCAGGTTTGCTTCCATGTTTTGGGGAACAAAAACACCTGATATTTCATCGAATGTTCAAACTATATTATTTGGTTGTCAGCGACTGAATGTTAATTTGAAGATTCAAGTTAGGTACTAGACGTTTTTATTAGATTTTTCCTATTTTCTAACAGGTGTTATTGTTGTTGCGGGTGTTGGTCGGCTTGCCCTGGGTTTCCAGCCCAGAATGGTGCGAGTGTTTTGACAGTTTGTCTGTGCTGGTCTCAAGTTTATGTCTCACCGTCTAGACGTTGGTGTTTTTTTTTGTAGCAACCGTTTCATATTACTTATAACAATCTGTGATTCAATAATAACTAATTAAAACTTATATATATATATTATCAGACTGTATATGTCTACTATCAATATATTTATGCATTGTTTATATTGTAAGGACAGGGCTTTTATAGGCTTTGCCTGTTGCCCAATTCTGTGTGGTTATAACACCTACAATGTATACAGTGAAATTATTTGAAATGAAAACATGAAATGAAATTAATCATGCCGTTATCTATGATTTAGACATCAGTGACCCTCCTGCGACCTTCAGATTGTAATCTTTTCAATTATATATTAGAGTACCAACTTTAATAGCGTATCATTGCACCTGCGCAACCCATATCAAACTGCCGTCGTAACTTGTTTTTGTTTTTGTTCACCTGAGCAACCCATACCAAACTGCCGTCGTAACTTGTTATGTTTTTGTTCACTTGATCAGCCTATTTCAAACTGCCGTCGAACTTGTTTTTTTTCACCCAAGCAACAAATATCAAACTATCGCCGTCATAATTTACTATTCTAACTGTGAAACCAAGATCACAACCGCCGTCAAAAGTTCTTAAATTAACATTACAGCCATTGTTTAACCCGGTCGTATTAAAGTTATTTCACATAAAGTAATAATGTCAACAACACTGACATGAATTTTTTTTCTCGTTTAGAAATGACGTTAATGTTTACACTACCGATTAAACATTGTTATGCGTATCTCATAAATTTAATCACTCGATCAATAATGACAAATAAGTGGAATTAAATGGTCGCTCTTGTTTCCCATTTTTGGAGATTGTGGACAAATATGTAAACGTTCGTATCAGAATTTATGCATAGGTCTATTTAAAAAAAGAAAAGAGAACACCAAAGTGGCAAATGGACCGTGATTGCGACAATAACGCTTGCCCATAGTCTTCAATATACCTCTTGTTATAAGGTTGCCTATCAGAATTCGACATATATCACGGAAATGTTTCCATCGAACGCAACAAAACATGTTGTCTACACGGAATCATCTTTGCCTTTGTCGTGTTTATAAAGAATATGCTTAAACATAATCTACAACCATAAATCGGTATCGCCGTTTACCTTTTTCATAATATGAGAACCAAAGTGTTCACTCAGGATGGTATAAGTTTGGTAGCGCATAAAGTGGAAAAGTTAGAAGAAACAATTCTGGAGCACAGATACTCAAAATTGATCTAAAGATGTTCAAAATTTCTCTTTCAATTTTTTGCACTTCTACAGTAAACGATGTCACAATACGACTTCATGCCTGGTTTACTGGCACTAAGACTAGATTTAATGGTGACAAGAATGATAGTAGGAAGTTTGGATAACGACTAAGATGAACAATTAGCAGAGTCAACGACCTATTACAAAACATGCAGGTCCGTATCCTTGTAATTAGCTGATATTAGGAAAATGTGTGAATACAGAAGAATGATCAGTAATAATTTCAGAAATATGGAAGATGTATAATAAGTATTGGTTATCAAGCAGCATAGTTTGTTTTGCAAGCAGAGTATTTAATAGTGTTTGCAGACAAAGATGACATTTTCTGATGCTTTGTCTGCCGACCCAAACACATACTTTTGTATTCAATACTGTTTGCAGATCAGAATGCATTTGGTTTAAATTGAACCATTTTATCTGATTTTATCTTCGCTACTCACATGTTTGTTAAAAAAAAAAAGATCACCATGGCCCTAAATGACCACAGCCGTCGATGGGCCGTTAAACATAAACAAACAAACAAACAAACAGAAAAAGATGACATTTTCTGATGCTTTGTCTGCCGACCAAAACACACATTTTTGTAGTCAATACTGTTTGCAGATCAGAATGCATTTGGTTTAAATTTTGGATAACAAGCAGCTAATTTATTTTTGAATGGTGAGCCTTACCAAGTCGTACAGTGAATCCAATACAAAGCATGCTCTCGGTTCGCTCATTGTAAGCCTTAAAACTCACATCCCAATAAAAAGTAGGAGTTTATCGATACTTTGGACCATTCGTCAAAAGCTCTTGAAACTTTATCTTATGGATACTATTTACATCACTAGTAAGTACGAGTCCAGCTGAACCCTAACTGTAATAGAATACTGAGCAATAAAGTTCAGCGGTTGTAGTGTTTACTTGTTGTTGAAGGGTTTGAAGCAAATGGGTTTATATTAATGTAAAACTGATCTGTTAACTGTTACTGTTAGTATTTTCATCCCAGTGTCCAGACTCATCCCTCTAAATTATTATTTTAACTAATTTCCAAGTATTATTCCGGGTTCACTGGTCCGGATTTCCTTCTTTGTGTAAAATACTAGTACAGCTGTCGTCTTTGCCGGATGCGAACAACCATTTGGAGTAATCCCCGTATAGCTGAAATAAAACAATAATATCAAGTTACCACATGTTGTTTTATAGGGTTTTTTCCAAACAATTGGATGTGAAAAAAATAACATGAAATTATTATTTAATTATCATTTCCTATGTTGTCCCTCGACCTGATATAAGCCCTTGTTTGAAGAAAGTAATGTTATGAAAATCAAATATATAGCCTTTTGTTAAACAATAACCTAAACCATTAACACTAAGGCAAACTATGAAAATATGACCAAGGAAATTATGAACACGCAAAATCTGAATAGGTACAATGTTAATAAGACCAGGTGTTCCGGAAGGATAGGCGTCCTCTGTTTCATTAAAATCAAAAAGGTTACCTATCATACAGCATATTTTCTGCCATTAATGTTTAGTTATAGGCTTATCCATTATTTCAGCCAAAAACCAAAATAACAGTTTGATAATCTTCAGCCATGTCGCTTTGATATATTTTACAAGTCTGGATTACATGTTGTGTAACCTAAGCGTCTCCCGTTGAATAACAGCCAACATAGAACCCATACAGTCTGACAGCCCTGATGAGGTAGACTCTCATTTTCCATACATTCCCTAAATAACTAGTAATAACAGATTTACAATGGAGAACAGCTTGCTCAACTCATGCAGGATGATGGTAGTTCTGGTTGGGACAGTAATAGCCGTTTGCTGATTTTAACACCAAATCTTGATGGAACATATGGCTTTAAAGGCGTTTCTTTTAGTATTTTACAGGTAGTGTATGTGAATCTTATAGGAAACGATGTATACAAACAGGCCTTTTCGGATAAATGATTTGGTTTCAGTTGTGCGAAATGAAATGATATGCTAATATTTTTCAAAATAATACGAGAAACTATACCTTTAAGGATTAAAACAAGATGTTACCGTGGTACGATTGAGTTTGTACATTAAATGTAAAATAAACATTGTTTGTAATTGAAGAATATGCTCCTTAAAAGTATCAGGAATTAACTTGTGGTGCATGTTATGATATATGAACATTTTAAATATTGGTATTCGTATTACTTCAGCTATTTTTCCTGATATAAGCAAAGTTGATATCGGACTGAAAGGTTAGGTTTCTTTCCACATTTATTATGGATATATATATTTGAATCAAATCAAATAAATGGTGAAAATTGCATGTTCATTTATTCTGAATTTAATTTCAACCTATCAGTATATAAAACGCTATTTTGCAAGTAACACTTATTAATGTGAGAAGACCTGTTCAGTATTTTTTATCAATTCTGTTAATATAACACAGCCACGCCTGCTGATAGTGACATGACTGTGATGAACATTGCCCTAGTAATACAATATATTCGTTCATACGTATTATCGGATCTTATGGAGATATTTTTGTTATGCTCCGCGATTTTTTTGATTTTTTTTTTTTTTTGTAAAACTGTTTGTTTATTTACACCGTAACTGGACCGTTGTAGAACTATAGGCATGCCTTAAAACCATAAATTTGAAGTGGTGGGTGCTTATCGTGTATCCTGTATCTCCCACGCGTCCTCATACATACATACATAAATACAGCTACAACCAGTATTGCAGCAGGCGTTTGTGTGGCGTAAGATTAGTGATAACCTAGGTGTTCTGTGGTATCCTTACACTGGTAAGGTAAGTCTAGTTAAGGAAATATCAATTTATAACTACAAGTTGTGTAGTAGTGAATCAAGTGTATGAAAAATTGCATACTAGTTTAAAGGAATGTAAAAACTATAGAGATACATACGTTATAAGTGTCATCACTAATTCTACCTTTACAACAATGCCTTCAATAATTTTATTTGTATATATATAGCGAAAATGAGATTCGTAACTGAGCCACCATGGTTAAATAAGAAACTATACTCTTTTGGGCATCATCATATTAGCACTGTTGTCGATAAATATATCAATGTATTAAATACATATTTTGGTAAATTACATTGAAGTTAAACAGAGCATAAACAGGAGGAAATAAATGCATGATTTGAAATTTGATTTGTTTTATTGACTTTTATAGCTTAAGATGCATAACTAAAGTTACCTCATTGTGACCTGATCGGAAAGTGACTCCAAGGTGTGTATAACAAACGAGAGATAAACAAGTGTCATAAACACATTTTCTTTCGTAAAAAAAATTTCAAAGTAATCTTTTGTTTCCAAATTACTGTATCAATCATCCACATTTCATCCTCAGTTTTATCTTTGCTATTTTCTTGTGTTTGTAAAGTCAGTACTTTTATATAATTAAACTATTTTTAAAAAAGTATGTATGCATTACCTAGTTTGACATAATAAGTACGATGTACTTAGACACAGTTGCGAAACCATTAATAATAATACAGATAAATAACGCAGTGAAAAGTTGTATTTATTTACTGTAATGACCGTCTTTAGTTACTAATGATAAAATCAACTTTTTTCTTGAACACATTAGCAAATGTACGTATTTCCTGTAATACCTTGACACAACTTAAATCTGATATTTACATGATATATCTACACAATATATAAATTTCTATATCTACTAAAATGCCTCTACACAATACATCAATCTATATATCCACTGTAATACCTCTACACACAATATAATAATTTGTATATCTACTGTTATACCGGTACATAATACATGAATGTATATATCCACTGTAGTACCTCTTCACAAATCAATATATAGATGAACAAATCCACTGAAATATCTTTACACACAATAAAATAATGTGTATATCTACTGTTATGCCGGTACATAATACATGAATGTATATATCTACTGTAGTACCTCTTCACAAACCAATATATAGACGAACAAATCCACTGAAATATCTTTACACACAATAAAATAATGAGTATATCTACTGTTATGCCGGTACATAATACATGAATGTATATATCTACTGTAGTACCTCTTCACAATATATAGATGTACAAATCCACTGAAATATCTCTACACACAATATAATAATTTGTATATCTACTGTTATACCGGTACATAATACATGAATGTATATATCCACTGTAGTACCCCTTCACAAATCAATATATAGATGAACACATCCACTGAAATATCTCTACACATAATATATTAATGTGTATAATTACTGTTATACCGGTACATAATACATGAATGTATACATCCACTGTAGTACCTCTTCACAAATCAATATATAGATGAACAAATCCACTGAAATATCTCTACACACAATAAAATAATGTGTATATCTACTGTTATACCGGTACATAATACATGAATGTATATATCTATTGTAATACCTCTTCACAATATATAGATGTACAAATCCACTGAAATATCTCTACACACAATATAATAATGTGTATATCTACTGTTATGCCGGTACACAATACATGAATGTATATATCTATTGTAATACCTCTTCACAATATAAAAAAGGAAAAAATCAACTGAAATACCTCTACACACAATATTAAACTGTGTATATATATACTGTAACACCTATACATAGATGTAGATATATAATGCAGCACATATATACAGCTAAAAGTTATACGATAAGGAAGTATCTACAAACAAGTACAAATGTGGATATACATACATATTCTGTAATACTGATACATAGGCTACCATTACTGTGGTTCAAATATACAGCTAATCATATGTGTATGCGTCCAACACTTTATATAAGTATTGAACCAGATACCCTAAGATATACTTAAACAACTAACTTTATGTATACGTGTTTTCATCCGTATCGCTTTGATATGCCCACTACTCTTTACCACACTTGATGAACAGGAACGCCTTTTTGAAGTTCTACATATTGATGACGATCATTTAACCTCCAAATATGCTAGAGGACGTATGGTCTGTTGTGCCGATAAAAAGCATGTGGCCCTTGACGATTCTGGAAGGGATACTGCCCCTGATGTCGCTGAAAGACGTGTATCCCTCTATTACTGTAGGAGGATTGTTCCGCATCCTGATCCTAGGAATTATTCTTTGGAAGATCCCCCGGTTTGTATACCGGTACAGTCACTTTTACAGAGCGGCTATACGTGTCCAGACTATAGGACCGGTCCACCCACTATGGGGCAACCTCAATCTAGTAAGTTATACCTTCGGAATGCATCATATTTAACATGTATTGGTTTTGTCCGAGGAAAACATCATATATGTTTCCAGAGTTTGATAATACCTATGTCTCCCCACAGAAGGGCAATACACAGTTCGTTCTGTCGAAATAACAACAATATAATAATATCAATAGTTAACTCTTTACTCAGGGTAAGCGGCATTTCAATCACTACTAAGTAAAGCATGAGTAAAGCATATTTAGTGTTGATGTTATAATAGTAAACAACATTGATATAGCGCCCTATATAATTTATGTTATGTGGTTTTCGCTTTTGTTTAGCTGTTGTTGTTTAGCATAGTCAGCAAAATGTCATCCATAAAGTAATGAATGAAAACCATTATTATTTATTAAAACCACAATCTACTGCAGTTATAATTCGTCGTCTGCTTGTATATAGGCTGACACTGCAGTGTGTGCACTATCAAAAATGTTCTCTAATTACATCCAATTTACTCCGACTTATTCTAGAAAGGGGTATTTTTAACTGTGTATGGCATTTGAGTGTAATAAAAATAATGACTCATGTTTCCCTTTTAAGGAGAGTAGCTCTGTAGTCAAGTTTCACCCATATCCCCTCTGGCTTGTGTCCTCGAGCTAAGCAGAGTGCCCTGTTTCGCGTTATATTCCACCCATATCCGCTCTGGCTTGTGTCCTCAAGCTAAGCAAAGTGCCCTGTTTCGCGTTATATTCCACCCATATCCCCTCTGGCTTGTGTCCTCGAGCTAAGCAGAGTGCCCTGTTTCGCGTTATATTCCACCCATATCCGCTCTGGCTTGTGTCCTCGAGCTAAGCAGAATGCCCTGTTTCGCGTTATATTCCACCCATATCCCCTTTGGCTTGTGTCTTCGAGCTAAGCAGAGTGTCCTGTTTCGCGTTATATTCCACCCATACCCCCTCTGGCTTGTGTCCTCGAGCTAAGCAAAGTGCCCTGTTTCGCGTTATATTCCACCCATAACCCCTCTTGCTTTCACGAGCTAAGCAGAGTGCCCTGTTCCGCGTTAGATTCCACCCATATCCCCTCTGGCTTGTGTTCTCGCGCTAAGCAGAGTGTCCTGTTTCGCGTTATATTTCACCCATATCCCCTCTGGCTTGTGTCCTCGAGCTAAGCAAAGTGCCCTGTTTCGCGTTATATTCCACCCATAACCCCTCTGGCTTTCACGTGCTAAGCAGAGTGCCCTGTTCCGCGTTATATTCCACCCATATCCCCTCTGGATTGTGTCCTCGAGCTAAGCAGAGTGCCCTGTTTCGCGTTATAGTCCATCCATATCCCCTCTGGCTTGTGTCCTCGAGCTAAACATAGTGCCCTGTTTCGCGTTATATTCCACCCATATCCCATCTGGCTTGTGTCCTCGAGCTAAACAGAGTGCCCTGTTTCGCGTTATCTTCCACCCATATCCCCTCTGGCTTGTGTTCTCGAGCTAAGCAGAGTGCCCTGTTCCGCGTTAGATTCCACCCATATCCCCTCTGGCTTGTGTTCTCGAGCTAAGCAGAGTGTCCTGTTTCGCGTTATATTCCACCCATAACCCCTCTGGCTTTCACGAGCTAAGCAGAGTGCCCTGTTTCGCGTTATATTCCACCCATAACCCCTCTGGCTTTCACGAGCTAAGCAGAGTGCCCTGTTCCGCGTTATATTCCACCCATATCCCCTCTGGCTTGTGTCCTCGAGCTAAGAAGAGTGCCCTGTGTCGCGTTATATTCCACCCATAGCCCCTCTGGCTTGCGTCCCCGAGCTAAGCAGAGTGCCCTGTTTCGCGTTATAGTCCATCCATATCCCCTCTGGCTTGTGTTCTCGAGCTAAGCAGAGTGCCCTGTTTCGCGTTATAGTCCATCCATATCCCCTCTGGCTTGTGTCCTCGAGCTAAGCAGAGTGCCCTGTGTCGCGTTATATTCCACCCATATCCCCTCTGGCTTGTGTCCTCGAGCTAAGCAGAGTGCTCTGTTTCGCGTTATATCCAGTTAGTTGGTGTGGTCGTGTAGTCTCGGATTCAGTTCCGTCCTGGACGGAGAATCCGGCAATGATGTACTATTAGGGGTTTATTAATTCTGTTGACTTTTAGCCCCTTTATCGATATACATTACTGAATAAAGGTTGTCGTTTCAGTTTTCAATCATCGAACGTAATTATGAATCAATGTCTAGCTTATTTTTTCATATTTTTCATTTTTTCATTTGTTTTTCCTTCTAAACAGTATATGATTAACTAGGATAATGATGTGTTTTATTTTGGTATTTAGTTACACGATTATATTTATTTGTGAATTTTGTATTGGAGATTAAGGAGGTTCCCGACTATTTCGAGCTGATACAACAATGTGTACAGAAGACGCGCACGAGGACCTACGTCACATGGATTACGTCACTGAGCCACTATTTTGGTGTTTGTCATCCGGAGACGGCCAAACTACTCCTCAAGTCATCAGAACCGAAACCAAAGGGGATAGGACAGGGATACCGCAGTTTTATCCCTTGGCTTGGTAAGATTATTAACAGGATTATTATCCCTTTTCGATGAATTATTCAATTTTCCCCGAGAAATGATGATGAACATTAACCCTAGTCCCCAAAAACATTATTGCTACAATAACCTTTGAGAAACACGGTAAGATTACATTTTCAAATATATCAGTTCAAAACATCTTACGGGTGATTGAGTACAGTACATTATATGAAAAGCTTTTATATTAGTCTATATTATGGGTTTTGCTGAACATAGTGTGATATTATATTAACAGTAACATGCAATGCCGTTGTATATACCTCATTTGTTAAACGTTTCTTTGTATAATTGAATAAGAAAACGTTTGCACTTATAGAAATTATCACGCAATACTTTTCACAAAATAATAAAGGACCGGTCTATGTGTAGGTGATGGACTGTTACTAAGTGAAGGCGCCAAATGGGAGAGAAACAGACGATTGCTTACGCCAGCCTTCCACTTCGATATTCTGAAATCCTACGTGAAAACGTATAACGAAGTTGCTGATATCCTGATAGTAAGTGTGGCACACTTATATACGAGTGGACGTTTGTCATAATATCCTCAGCTTTCAAATAAATAGAACAAAGATACATGCTATTACATGTTATATATAGAGAAGCTATATAATGCATGTTAGAGAGAATCTCCCGACACACGTTACAAAGAAATAGACGTGCATATCAGACGTATTTTTAGAAAACAAACCTGTCATGAAGATAAAATTATCTTATTTTAGGCTACTCCCACAGCAAGTTATCAGTTATCTAACAAAACGTCATGCCTTACATAAAAATAAACTGATTTATCAAATAAATTGGCTCCCTCTTTCTGAAGAAAGATCCTTTCTTAGATTAAAACTTCACTCTATCTCTATTTTCGCGGATCCTTGTAGATAGACGCAGCTATGGAATGGCTACTGCTCTCATGGGACACGAACTAAGAATTCACGTAACCATTTTTTACATTTTATGCTGAAAACGTCATCCTAGAAAGAATGTCAAACATTCAACAGAACAGTAGACATTAGACAACATCATACATTCGACACTTTAACTCCTATGTAAAATATCATCCAGAATTGTTTTGTTGTAAATCTGTTAATCAGAATAAGCTGCTGAATGCATCAAAGAGTGGGAAGAGTATCGAAATATATGAGTTGGTGGGACTAGCTACTCTGGACACCATGCTGAGGTGCTCGCTGTCGTATGACGGAAATATTCAACAGAAGGGGTAAGTCTACCATCCTATATATGTCTCTCTTACTGGGATAGGTTCCTTAAAACGGGTAAATCTAGAAGTCTACCATCCTATATATGTCTCTCTTACTGGGATAAGGTTCCTTAAAACGGGTAAATCTAGAAGTCTACCATCCTATATATGTCTCTCTTACTGGGATAAGGTTCCTTAAAAAGTCTACATAAATCTTTCAGTCTTTACAGGGTAATGGTCAATACAAGGGTTAGGTGTATAAACCTTCATAAATATAATGTGAATTCACATAGGAATAGATTACGGAAGCAGTAGGACTATGGGCTTATACTTTTAAGTATACGTTTCTGTTGCACTAGACGAATGTCTGACAGACGGATGAAAACTTTATGTCAACATCTGTGTCTGTGAATACAATGAGAAAGTAAGGCTAGATTCATCAATACTACTGTCTACGGAAGAGTCGAACTGACAAATTACGGAGAAGAATTAGCGTTACATAGTGTATAAGTGCTGACGGAAAATGATGTTATTTAAGCATTAAACTGCCTTCTTTGGAAAGTAATTGTCCTGTTATTCTCACAGGATTGCAGACAAATTCAATAACGCGCGTGAGAATTATAGGACAATAACTTTCCAAAGAAGGCAGTTTGATACTTATATTTCCGCTTTTAATTTAAGTTTTTCTTATATTTCAAACCTGTTATCGCATTTAAAAATTAAATTTCGCGCTGTCATTCTGACGTCACGAGTACACGCGACCGTTCCCAGCAAAACATATAGTTCGTGCAAATAGACACTAAATCATCAATTCAATTTCAACAATTTAATCAATATATTCCACCGTGAGAATATTCACCTTTTATACAACATAACTACATAACTTGTTGCGAGTTACATTGATCATCGGTCAAAACGACGTCATTTAGTCACGACGTCACGAACATGTTCTTTATATCAATGGGAATGCTGTGAGAACTATGATCTGATACCTTTCTATTTTGTTTCCGGGTAAGGTTATAAAGTGGCAATGCATAGCTAATGGAAATATATATCCAATAAATGACAAACAAACAAAAATGTATATAGATATTATGGAGAAAAAGTACTTTGGAAATGATATCAACAGTTATTTTATATCCAAGCTTCCGGGTTTGCACTTTTTCAGTGTTCTCACTTCCTGTTTTCAAATATGAATGTGATATAAAGATGGCGACCCTGCCATTGACGATAACGGAAATGCACGATAGTGCCTGAAGTACTTCCTTTTACGAACATAAATTAAAAAAAAATTGAAAATACTTTTCCTCTTCATATTTGCTCTTATTTGATATGGTTTAAATGAATCAATACAACATTTCGTATCTCACGGTGAGATTCATAGCACTTCGGTTACAATGTGGATTCACAGTATAACCTTTAACCATGTATGTCAAATCGAACTGAATGGTGACACACAATAAAACAGCATCATACTCGATGAATACAGAGTCGTGCCACCATATATTTATGTGTTTCATACGAATGGTTTATGATAGCTCTTAGTTAAGGCAGTAAATCGTTATAAACATACCAGTAACTAATATATGAATCAAAAACCCTCGCCCGTTACCTTTCGGGCTAACAAGGGTGTTTGCTATAAGTTGACATAACTTGTTTTGCACTTGTTGTATTATAAATACTAGTAGAAGTTTCATTACATTAACGACATGAATTATATTGAGTGTAAATACAGTTTTCTGAAATACATATATATATTATAATGTTTATAGAAATATCAACCCTTGTGAGGGCATGTTATTGATTATAATGATAACCCTTGTGTGGGGGCATATAATATATCATAATGCTTATGTTTATATGAACACATACCATCGGGTGAGGCATATTATAAATCATAATACTGATGTTTATATGAACAGATATCATTGTGTGAGGGCAAAGTATAGATTATAATGCTTACGGTTATAAGAACACAAGCTCTTGTGTGAGGGCATATTACAGATTATAATATTCATTTTTATAGGAACACATACCATTTGGTGATGATATGTTATACATTATAATGTATATATTTGTATGAACGCATATCCATGTGTGATATCCATTATATAATATTACTTATGTTTATATGAACACATACCAGATTAAATTGTATATATTTGTAGGAGCGCATACCCTGATGACAGGGACACACATGTAACCTTGTGTTACAACATGATATCAAATATGTTATATATATTCACAGGGACTCACACCCGTACGTAAGAGCAGTTAGAAGACTTACCCAGTTATGTCTAGAACGAACACTGTAAGTAGTAGCTATTATGCTAGAGTATCAATGTCTTAGCTAGCGCTACATTACCTTGTCATGTTGACAAATACATGTTATATATAATTAGTCTTTACTTGCAATCTCCTATAGTCATGTTTATGCAACATATTACCTGGCACTAATTAACCAGTAAAAGTATTCAGTAGAGCGGTCTTTACTGATGACGTTTAGTGACTACACAAAGGTAAAACGACAAAATGTATCATTGATCTTAAATTTTAAAAAGTAAACAAAACATTATGTAAATCACATTCGTCACGCATAATATTTTGGATAGATTTTTTATTGGCTAAACAGTTTGAATATTTGCATTCTGTTTTATAGAAAACCCTGGCTTTTTATGGATTGGATGTTTATATTATCTCCACAAGGAAGAGAGTTCCGTAGATTGATCAATCACGTCCATGCTTTCGCGGATGACATCATTGAGCGAAGACGTAGTAATATGGTAATGAATACTTAAAATAAAGAGGCTAAAACTTTGATATATTTTGATATTCCTCTTTTCAAATTATATTTTTTGGTCACACAGGGTCACGCGGTAGACTTAACAGCCAATCGACAGGGTACAGTCATACCGGTTTATTCGGTAGTCTTAATAGCCCATCGCCATAGTACGGTCATACAGGGACACACGGTAGTCTTAACAGCTCAGCGACATAGCATCGTCATACAGGATCACTGAACAAAGTCCTGATCACCAAATAGAAACATACAGGATCACATGGAAAGCCATCGATACGACCAATACATACAGGGCCAAACGACAGTCTTAATGGCCATCAACACAACGTTAACCCAGTCATACAGGGCCACACGACATCCTTAATGGCAATCAACACTAACCAGTCATAAAGGGCCACACGACATCCTTAATGGCAATCAACACTAACCAGTCATAAAGGGCCACACGTCAGCCAGAGTGGCTATTTACACTACCTAGTCACATATGTCGACACGACAGTTTTAATGGCTATTAGCACAACAAAGTCATACAGGGAAACATGTCAGCCTAATGAGCTTTAGCACGACCCTATTATTCAGGCTTAACACTACCCAGTCAAACAGGTCTACAAGACAAAATTTATTGCCAACAACACTAGCCAGTCATTCACGGCCTCATTGTAGACTTAACTGGGTATCCACTGTCATATAAGCAGAAGACAAAGACAGAGCTCTCGACACCTTACAAACAAGCCATTTACCTCATGTCCAATACAAATATATAAGTAATTGTGATGATATTATATTTATCATAAAACTCGTGTAAATCACATTTCCGGTACACTTTTTTTCTATATTTTTATTACAGTAGAATTTGTATATGATTTTAGAGTACAAGCAACACAAACACAAGAAAACGTTTAGACTTCCTTGATATTCTGCTCGTCTCGCGAGATGAGAATGGTAGTGGTCTATCAGATAGAGACATCCGAGCGGAAGTGGACACATTTCTTTTTGAAGGTGAGTGATGAATGGAACAGTCCTCTAGTCTTTTTACACAGAAAAAACACCTACTGTCTCAGAAAGACCAAGCTGTTTCCTTTATTATCTTGATTTTTATTATCCGTTTCCCAGAAATGTATAAACATGCAACCTAATGCACTTGTTAGTTTGCAAACTGAACGTTATGATTCTATATAAGTGTTCCCAGAAACAAGTATAGAGAAAGGGATAAAAGGTTTCCAACAATTTCCGTAGTTACTTGCATAATACGTCACTAGCTGGAAGCACTTTATACATTGACGTCAGTTAAGTATACGATATTAACAGTGTTGTATGCGTATATGCATATGTATGCGTCTTTGCTTTAGCATACACTAAAACAAATAAGAAGATTTTTTTCAACCATATCTCGTCATTAGTTAGTTTCTTATCTTGTGATTTATATGGACCGTCCTTAATAATCATTAAAAAGGAAAGAAAAACTTGTCAATTTTGTCCGACGGAACATACATTGTATTATTATACCGTGTTTTCCTCGGATAATCGTTGAATGGCCTTTTAGTCTTATCACTAGTAAGTGAAACGTTTACTTGTTAATTATCAGACTGAAAGATGTTCCATTGCTTCTAGGGTCTGGTAAAATATTTTCCAGCTATGTAAGCATACACTCCGAAAAATGATTTGCTACGCCACTGATTAAACCGGAACACATTTAAACGATCACTTTAATGGGTATCTTCGTTGCATACTTCCTTGTAAATTAACAACAAATGAACGCATATTAAATTTGGAACTTTCCACAAACCCCCATTGGTTGAAAACGACGTTTTCTGTTTGTACAATGAATAACTTTGCTTCCATCTGATAAATCACATGGCATTAAAGGAAACATTCACTACCCCAGCCTGTGACCATATTAATCAAGAATGCATTCATATGTATATGTCTGATTTCAAGTTATTGATAGGTAAGAAGTTTTGGGTATTTTAATTATAGTATTCCCCCTTTCTATTCCGGTTTGATATTAAAAGAAATAATATATAATTTCGCCTTTGCTTTAGGAAAACATGAAAAATTATTCCCTTCAATAAGTAATGTTCAGGTTCCTGACTAATCTTAAGGAAAACAAGGTCAGTAACAGAACAGAACCAATCAGGTTCCTCAATTTAACAAGTTAAATGTATGATTTTGTGTTACAGGCCACGACACGACAGCGTCGGCCGTCACCTGGGCACTGTACTGCTGTGCAAAGTACCCAGAGGAACAAGAGAAGATTTACCAGGAGTTGACCTTTCTTACCGACAATAATGATTATATGGGCTGGTAAGGTTCACCATATGTGTTAAAACCACCATTAAAATGTATTGACATATATGGTCTAAAGACATGAACAATAGTCACGTTTCGTTACAACTTATGTGGTGTAAAGTCTTATGTCTATTGTGTTCATGAATAAAGATAGTCTTTTCTCTTTTTATGAAAGTTTTCCTCCTAACAAGAGAGCAAAAGGCTGCCCTACGGTGTACATCAATCATTTTCACTCGTCCTATATTTCCGTAGCTTATACACAATTATAAGCACGATTTTGTCAAGATGTAATTGAAACATTTCCGGTATTTCCAAACATATTTCATTCAAATTTATCTTATAATCAAAAGTTAATATAGTTTAGATATGCATGTTGAAAACACTTAGTAATTCACAATCTATAGTTATAAAATCTGTTTCCCTCCGAAACATAGAAACGTGTCATCAGTATACCATCTCCCCCTAATTGGAAAGAATTTCATCGATTATATCTTATTGAAAGCATGAAAATATCACATTGTGATTCAGTTAATTGTAAAAGTATTCCTTCCTCTTAAACTTGGGACAAATCTCTGTCAAACCTTGGTACAATGACAAACGGACATATGTGTTCCTCATTCATCACACTGATACCCGAAAGTATGGTAGTGTGATGGTAGTGGTGGCTGGTGGGGTACTACTCCCGTTAGGCAAATTCTTGTTTGTTATGATCACGACAAATACGTTTATCCGAAGCTATTTTGAAAGCAGGATAGTAAGTATGCTTCACAAGCGAGATAGTAATCAGTAAAAGCATGTTATATCTGCCGAAATATTCCTATAGGGAATTCTGTTTGGTATGTATGTACACCACAGCCAAGTGGTGTGTCGCTTACATTTGTGGAATCAACACGAGGTCCAATCTGTACCGTTTCATAGACCACTATATGGGTTGCGAGGCTATTCAAGAAGGCCTCGCCTCGAGTGGAGTTTTATCTACTGTTGATAATGGTACTGTATTGTACTAATGTGACCAATAAAGGATGTTAGTATGAGTTAACTTGATTTATACCTCAGGGACTCTATCAAGGGCATCGACTACTTAAACCTGTTCATCAAGGAGACAATGCGGATGTACAGTCCCGTCCCTATGATTGGCCGAAGACTGACCAAACCAGTCCTGGTGGACAACGTCCTCTTTCCTAAAGACTCCGTCATTGAGATCAACATCAGCGCTATGCATCACCACCCAGACGTATTCCCAGATCATATGGTAAACACTTCCGGAACCAGTACCACGAAGTTCCTCAACTTAAACATCGTTCTTAATTTAAATATTCCTAGATATCGCGTTTCTTTTAAAAAGATCCAGAGTAAGAATAAATTATCATATCGTGTTAATATTAATACATACCGCAGCTTTAGCACAGAAAAAATATGTAAACAAACTTTGGGTAGATCAAACAAGGGATGCTAAAATCATATGTTAAAGACACTTTGCCAGCATTTTGACCATACGATTATTTCATTGTTATAGTACAGTTATGGTGATACCATATCTAATTTAATACAGGAATTCCGGACCGACAGATTTCTGGACGCGAATGTGGGAGACAATGATCCGTTCAGTTTCGTACCTTTCTCGGCGGGACCAAGGTCAGTATCTACGTCTTTTAAAGCTCATCTCATTGTAACGATATCTGTTTAATATCAGTCACGTGATTGTTACAGCCTAGCGAAGGGCAATAAAATAACTGAACCAAATACGCGTGTGCTCTTCCGCCATTGGTGTAATTCAAGGCAAACTATTTAATATCATAACGAGTATTAGTCGCAATTGATGCGCTTGTTATTTATTTCATTATAGAAACTGCATCGGACAAAACTTTGCCATGAACGAACAGAGAGTGTTGATTGCCAGAGTTATACGAAGGTAAATATCAAATGATAATATAAGTAACATTTGATTTTAATATTACGTTTACATGCATAGACTTGCAAGGAAATGATTAGCCTGATACCGATACCAAATTTTGGTTAAAACGAATTTGATTAAACACGATGTATTGATACTTTTGAGGGCTTTAATTGGCAATACCTGTGCCCAATTCTTCTGTGCATTTACTACAATAAAATTGATTTGCGATGAAACTGATAAAGATAAAATTCACTTTGTGTTTTAGATTCAAAATCAAACTGGATCCACAACACGAGACGAAAATTTTTCCGGAAGTAGTTACTAGGCCACAGTTCGGGGTCAGAGTCATTCTGGAAGAAAGAGAGCCTCCGTCTGTATTCCTGTGACCGAACTATTAATCGATTACAGTCTACCTCAACATTCTATATTTACATTAGCGCTACAACCCACTAAATGAACATTACCAGCAGAAATACGTTTCATTTGAGTGTGAAAGCAAAAACTTTACTTATGACGCAACGGATTAACCTTGTTCAATGAGAGTCTTCGGATAACGTGGAGAATGCCCCTGTGTCAAACACTCAAACGACTACGGTTAATTATTGGCGCCAATTTTATTCAAATAGGGCTGTTCCGCCAATGTCGTTTAAAGGATGACGCATATACAAAACGCAGCAAATAAATGAATTATTTAAGAACAAATTAATAAAATTAAACAATTGTTCTTTAGTAAAAATGTAAGTATATGGATTTAACGGCTTTTTTAATGTTCATGCCGGTATGAACGCAAATCGGTTCAAGTTCAAGTTCATTTATTTCCTTAAGCTTTACAGCTCATCAGTTGTGCATATATACAGTGCAACATAAAGTAAACAATTCCACATCAACACACATACACACCACTTTCACACCTACTCCTAGAAGTGTAGAGAGATATCTTGCACTGCTAAAAATAATGCATTTAATAATAGAATATTGTTTGATGATAAGAACATATTAATGTATTACTGACAAACACTTGATACAATTGACTTAATTCAGTACATTGTGTCGTCTTCTATTTGCGATTCTTACATATTTGGCCAAATCAGTTATTTCTTTTTTCATTTTGAGTGGATAACAACTTAATGAATTTATACATACTTGTATGTCTGATATAGAAAGGTTTGATAAATGAATTGCGCAAATCGTAATAAAATGGACATTAAAGAACAAAATGAAATTCATCTTCTACACCATTAGAGGCACAAAACGAACAAACCCTGTTTTTGTGTTCAATACCTTGGTATCTATCAGTTTCTACATTAAGTTTATGAGAAGATGTTCTAATCCTTACTAACTCCTTCAAGTGTTGAATATCAATAGACTTTTTTAAGGAACTTTGTTAACCAAACTCATCACAGAGATATTTGTATAGATTACATTTAGAAGAAGTGTTATTTTTTTCGAAACATTCCTGTTTGAAAAATTCCGTGATTCTTTCTTTAAAAATTGGCACTAAATCATCTTGTATGTCTTTCAATTCCCAAACATATCCCAATCCTATCCTAAACAATTTATTTTTATACTCATAAGCCAATGATTTTCACAGTCGGACATTTCTTCATAACATGCCTGAAGGGGCGCGTCTAATTACCCAATACCACCCAATACTACCCAATACCACCCAATACTACCCCATACGACCCAGTTATGAACCAAATACTTCTTTATTACTGTGAAATATCACCTTTGTAGACGTTATTTACTTCCATCTGTCATATTTTATCGGGAAATATGCGATTTGGTGCCGAAAACATCACCGAATTGCCGTGACTATGACCCAATAC